TGACATCACCCCGGACCTCCTGGAGGAATTCATCATGGCGCCCTGCACTCAGTACAACGGTGTAGATAACATAACCCCGGACCTCCTCGAGGAATTCATTATGGCGCCCTGCACTCACAGTACAACGGTGAAGATGACATCACCCCGGACCTCCTCGAGGAATTCATCATGGCGCCCTGCACTCACAGTACAACGGTGCAGATGACATCACCCGGACCTCCTGGAGGAATTCATCATGGCGCCCTGCACTCACAGTACAACGGTGCAGATGACATCACCCCGGACCTCCTTGAGGAATTCATCATGGCGCCCTGCACTCACAGTACAACGGTGCAGATGACATCACCCCGGACCTCCTGGAGGAATTCATCATGGCGCCCTGCACTCACAGTACAACGATGCAGATGACATCACCCCGGACCTCCTTGAGGAATTCATCATGGCGCCCTGCACTCTCAGTACAACGATGCAGATGACATCACCCTGGACCTCCTTGAGGAATTCATCATGGAGCCCTGCACTCACAGTACAACGATGCAGATGACATCACCCCAGACTTCCTCGAGGAATTCATCATGGTGCCCTGCACTCACAGTACAACGATGCAGATGGCATCACACCAGACCTCCTCGAGGAATTCATCATGGTGCCCTGCACTCAGTACAACAATGAAGATGACATCATCCCAGACCTCCTCGAGGAATTCATCATGGTGCCCTGCACTCACAGTACAACGGTGCAGATGACATCACCCCGGACCTCCTCGAGGAATTCATCATGGCGCCCTGCACTCACAGTACAACGGGGCAGATGACATCACCCCGGACCTCCTCGAGGAATTCATTGCGCCCTGCACTCACAGTACAATGGTGCAGATGACATCACCCCGGACCTCCTTGGGGAATTCATCATGGCGCCCTGCACTCACAGTACAATGGTGCAGATGACATCACCCCAGACCTCCTGGAGGAATTCATCATGGCGCCCTGCACTTAGTACAACAATGTAGATGACATCACCCCAGACCTCCTGGAGGAATTCATCATGGCGCCCTGCACTCAGTACAACGGTGTAGATGACATAACCCCGGACCTCCTTGGGGAATTCATTATGGCGCCCTGCACTCACAGTACAACGGTGTAGATGACATCACCCCGGACCTCCTCGAGGAATTCATCATGGCGCCCTGCACTCACAGTACAACGATGCAGATGACATCACCCCGGACCTCCTCGAGGAATTCATCATGGCGCCCTGCACTCACAGTACAATGGTGCAGATGACATCACCCCGGACCTCCTTGAGGAATTCATCATGGTGCCCTGCACTCAGTACAACGGTGCAGATGACATTACCCCGGACCTCCTCGAGGAATGCATCATGGTGCCCTGCACTCAGTAGAACAATTCAGATGACATCACCCCGGACCTCCTGGAGGAATTCATCATGGCGCCCTGCACTCAGTACAACGGTGTAGATGACATAACCCCGGACCTCCTCGAGGAATTCATTATGGCGCCCTGCACTCACAGTACAACGGTGTAGATGACATCACCCCGGACCTCCTCGAGGAATTCGTCATGGCGCCCTGCACTCACAGTACAACGATGCAGATGACATCACCCCGGACCTCCTCGAGGAATTCATTATGGCGCCCTGCACTCACAGTACAACGGTGTAGATGACATCACCTCGGACCTCCTCGAGGAATTCATCATGGCGCCCTGTACTCACAGTACAACGATGCAGATGACATCACCCCGGACCTCCTCGAGGAATTCATCATGGAGCCCTGCACTCACAGTACAACGATGCAGATGACATCACCCCAGACTTCCTCGAGGAATTCATCATGGTGCCCTGCACTCAGTACAACAATGCAGATGACATCATCCTGGACCTCCTCGAGGAATTCATCATGGTGCCCTGCACTCACAGTACAACGGTGCAGATGACATCACCCCGGACCTCCTCGAGGAATTCATCATGGCGCCCTGCACTCACAGTACAACGGGGCAGATGACATCACCCCGGACCTCCTCGAGGAATTCATTGTGCCCTGCACTCTCAGTACAATGGTGCAGATGACATCACCCCGGACCTCCTGGAGGAATTCATCAAGGCCCCTGCACTCAGTTCAACGACGTAGATGACATCACCCCGGACCTCCTGGAGGAATTCATCATAGCGCCCTGCACTTAGTACAACGATGTAGATGACATCACCCCGGACCTCCTGGAGGAATTCATCATGGCGCCCTGCACTCAGTACAACGGTGTAGATGACATAACCCCGGACCTCCTCGAGGAATTCATTATGGCGCCCTGCACTCACAGTACAACGGTGTAGATGACATCACCTCGGACCTCCTCGAGGAATTCATCATGGCGCCCTGTACTCACAGTACAACGATGCAGATGACATCACCCCGGACCTCCTCGAGGAATTCATCATGGCGCCCTGCACTCACAGTACAATGGTGCAGATGACATCACCCCGGACCTCCTTGAGGAATTCATCATGGTGCCCTGCACTCAGTACAACGGTGCAGATGACATTACCCCGGACCTCCTCGAGGAATGCATCATGGTGCCCTGCACTCAGTAGAACAATGCAGATGACATCACCCCGGACCTCCTGGAGGAATTCATCATGGCGCCCTGCACTCAGTACAACGGTGTAGATGACATAACCCCGGACCTCCTCGAGGAATTCATTATGGCGCCCTGCACTCACAGTACAACGGTGTAGATGACATCACCCCGGACCTCCTCGAGGAATTCGTCATGGCGCCCTGCACTCACAGTACAACGATGCAGATGACATCACCCCGGACCTCCTCGAGGAATTCATTATGGCGCCCTGCACTCACAGTACAACGGTGTAGATGACATCACCCCGGACCTCCTCGAGGAATTCATCATGGCGCCCTGCACTCACAGTACAACGATGCAGATGACATCACCCCGGACCTCCTCGAGGAATTCATCATGGCGCCCTGCACTCACAGTACAATGGTGCAGGTGGCATCACCCCGGACCTCCTCGATGAATTCATCATGGTGCCCTGCACTCAGTACAACGGTGCAGGTGGCATCACCCCGGACCTCCTCGATGAATTCATCATGGTGCCCTGCACTCAGTACAACAATGCAGATGACATCACCCCGGACCTCCTTGAGGAATTCATCATGGTGCCCTGCACTCACAGTACAACGGTGCAGATGACATCACCCTGGACCTCCTCGAGGAATTCATCATGGCGCCCTGCACCTCACAGTACAACGGGGCAGATGACATCACCCCGGACCTCCTCGAGGAATTCATCATGGCGCCCTGCAGTCACAGTACAACGGTGCAGATGACATCACCCCGGACCTCCTCGAGGAATTCATCATGGCGCCCTGCACTCACAGTACAACGGTGCAGATGACATCACCCCGGACCTCCTTGGGGAATTCATCATGGCGCCCTGCACTCACAGTACAACGGTGCAGATGACATCACCCCGGACCTCCTGGAGGAATTCATCAAGGCCCCTGCACTCAGTTTCAACGATGTAGAGACATCACCCCGGACCTCCTGGAGGAATTCATCATGACGCCCTGCACTCAGTACAACGATGTAGATGACATCACCCCGGACCTCCTGGAGGAATTCATCATGGACCCCTGCACTCAGTACAGTGGTGTAGATGACATAACCCCGGACCTCCTCGAGGAATTCATTATGGCGCCCTGCACTCACAGTACAACGGTGTAGATGACATCACCCCGGACCTCCTCGAGGAATTCATCATGGCGCCCTGCACTCACTGTACAACGATGCAGATGACATCACCCTGGACCTCCTCGAGGAATTCATCATGGCGCCCTGCACTCACAATACAATGGTGCAGATGACATCACCCCGGACCTCCTTGAGGAATTCATCATGGTGCCCTGCACTCAGTACAACGGTGCAGGTGACATCACCCCGGACGTCCTTGAGGAATTCATCATGGCGCCCTGCATTCACAGTACAACGGTGCAGATAACATCATCCCAGCAGCAGTTTCTTCAAGAAACCATTGATGGTCCCCAGTTGTCATCGTTGTACTGTGACTGCACGGCGCCATGATGAATTCCTCAAGGTTGGTCCGGGGTGATGTCATCTGCACCATTGTACTGGGAGTGCAGGGCGCCATGATGAATTCCTCGAGGAGGTCCGGGGTGATGTCATCTGCATCACTCCGGACCTCCTTGAGGAATTCATCATGGCACCCTGCACTCCCAGTACAACGGTGCAGATGACATCACCCCGGCAGCATCCCTCTATATCTCATTGAGGACTGACCCCTACGGGAGAATGGGTGAAGATACCAAAACGGGGCCTCCTTTATCCTTTTATGCCTCTGACATAACTACTACTTTGGTGTCTGTGGTGGCATGCAGATTTATAGCTCCAATAGCAACCATTCGTTTGTTTTAAGAGGCTGCCGGCTATATTGTAGAGCAGTCCAGCTGCTTTACAGCATCGAAACCCTTCCATGGTGCCTCGTTCCGAACACCCACCCTCCCCAGTTTCCTGGGTTCCCCTGACATCAGGACGGTGAGCATGGAGAGATGGGAACGTCCATTCCTCCATCTCTGAACCCGGAAGTGCCCAGCTAGGAACCGGGTGAAGCAACAGATCGGGGACCTTGTGTCGGCTGAGTGCGGGGGAAGTAACGTTGGTCCAAAAGACCCCTGACCTAAGAGTACTTGTCACTCAAAAGGGGGTTCTTCAGAACCTTTGTGATGGCAATAAAGTGATAAAAAAATATGAAAAATGAGCACAAAACGAACAAAGTAAAACATAAAAAACTAGGGGGTGGAAGGCGAGTATATTTCTAGTTTTTATCCATTTTTTATATATGAAGGGTCAGCGAGATAAGCGGATCTCACTCTCTAAGGTGCCAAAGTCCAGATAAACGACCTTCTATACGAGTCGCGTACAGTCATCCTTCCCCTAGTTTTAGCTTCACCCCTCGTCAGTTTTATTCTCTTCATGACTCTTTAAATGTTCGTTTAACCGGCTCTTAAAGGGGAACTCCTTGCTGCAGTGTGGGCAGGGGTGTTGCCTTCGCATTATGTGGACTCTACGATGGACCTTGAGGTTGGACCTGGTGGTGAACCCTCTCTCACATTCGGCACACCAGAAGGGCTTTTCTACCTCGTGAACCCTCTGATGCCTCACCAGGTTGTTCTTCTGCTTGAAACAATTGCCACACTCGGTACACTGATAGGCCTTGTCTGCCGTGTGCAGTTTCTGGTGATTTAGAAGGCGGGGCCCCGAGCTGAACTGCTTCCCACACTCCGAGCATTCAAACAGTTTCTCAGTGGTGCCCATGTGGACTCTCTTATGTTTGGTCAGCTCGGCTTGACGAAAGAAACACTTACCGCAGTCAGAGCAGACCGGATTCCCGCCGACATGAGTCCGTTCGTGTCTGAGGAGCAGCGCCTTGTGAGCGAAGCGCTTCCCGCAGAGGATGCACGGGTATGGTTTGTCTAAGGTGTGGAAGCGCTGGTGTCTGGCAAACTTGTGCTGGTCCACGAAGCACTGGCCACAGTGGGTGCAGGTGAACGTCACCGCCTCTTGGTGGATCCGCTGGTGGCTGAGCAGATTCTCTTGGCGGGCGTAAGATTTGCCGCAGGCCGAGCAGCAGAACTGTTTGGAGCCCGTGTGGACCTTCATGTGCTCAGCGACGTTGGACTTGCTGGAGAAGCGTTTCCCGCAATGCGAGCAGGCGAAGGGCTTCTCTCCTGTGTGGATCCTCTCATGGATGATGAGGTGCGAGTTGCTCGGGAAGGTGATGTTGCACTCTGAGCAGTAGAGGACCCTGTTGGCTTTGTGTATCCGGGCATGTGCCGTGAGGTCCGTCTTGTTGCAGAAATCAGCTCCGCACTCCAGGCAGGACATCTTCTTCCCTTTGTGGGTTTCGCGGTGCCGCACCAGGTTGCCGTGATTAGTGAAGTTTCTTTTACACACTGGGCAGGCATAGGTGGTCTTAGATGACTGAGACATAGAGCCCACTTTGTCCTGCATGGGTTTGGTCTTCAGCTTGATCTCAATGCCTTCAATGTACTCTCCAGTAATGGTAAAAGAGTGAATGTCAGAGTCCGTGATGGTCCCTTCGAGTATGTGAATCCCTTCAGGAGGGAAATCTTCCTCCTCCTCCTCCTCTTTAATCTGAATAGATAGACACTGTGTGGAATCAGTGGGTGGAGAGAGGTCCACGTTGGTGGTATCTTCCTCATCAGGGGATTGGGGTTCTTCCTTTATCTTTACAGATGGACACTGTACATGAGCTGGGGGGTCTAAGATATTACCGTGTTGGAGATTCCTCCTGCCACATGTGAGAGGATCCTGCTTTATCTGAATCACGGAGGAAGAACAGTCATGGTCACCTGAGAAGGGTTCCAACTTAATCTGAGATGCTTGAGCATGGGGTAGGTCTTCTCCTTCATGCAAGCAGGGCTCCTTCTTAATACGAGATGACATATGCCTTCTATGATCTGCAAGGGTGGACTGCTTGGTGTCCTGGAGATTGTGTCCTGATTGGGAATTCTTCCTAATATGACTGGATGTGAGTTTGTGATTGGCAGATGTAGAAGCCCCAGTTGCTGGAATGTTGTCTTTTTGAAATGAGGGGGTGACCTCATCATGTGTACATGGTCTAAGACATCTGGGTGTGGGAACGTTAGCACATTCTTGATTTGGTAGAGGTTCTTCTTTAATGGTGGCCTTATATAGTGGAGTATTGCAGTCAGAGTGTGAAGACGTCTCCTCCTTGATGATCATGGAGAACCATGTTGTACATGTAGAGCTTTCTATGTGACCTCTCACCGATTCCCGCTTCTTGTCTGTTGTCCCAGTCCAGGTGGTCTCTTCCATGTCTGTTGTCCCAGTCCAGGTGGTCTCTTCCATGTCTGTTGTCTTAGTCTGAGCCTCTTCCATGTCCATTATTGCAGTCTGAGTCTCTTCTATGTCCACTGTCTTAGTCTGGGTTTTTTCTGTGTCTGTTGTCTCAGTCTGGGTCTTTTCCATGTCCCTTGTCTCAGTCTGGGTCTCTTCCGTGTCCCTTGTCTCAGTCTGGGTCTTTTCCGTGTCCACTGTCTCAGTCCGGATCTCTTCCCTGTCCCTTGTCTCAGTCTGGGTCTCTTCCGTGTCCGTTGTCTCAGTCTGGCTCTTTTCCATGTCTGTTGTCTCAGTCTGGGTCTTTTCCGTGTCTGTTGTCTCAGTCTGGGTCTTTTCCATGTCCCTTGTCTCAGTCCGGGTCTCTTCCGTGTCCCTTGTCTCAGTCTGGGTCTTTTCCATGTCCACTGTCTCAGTCTGGGTCTCTTCCATGTCCCTTGTCTCAGTCTGGGTCTCTTCCGTGTCCACTGTCTCAGTCTGGGTCTCTTCCATGTCACTTGTCTCAGTCAGGGTCTCTTCCATGTCCCTTGTCTCAGTCTGGGTCTCTTCCATGTCCCTTGTCTCAGTCCGGGTCTCTTCCATGTCCCTTGTCTCAGTCCGGGTCTCTTCCATGTCCCTTGTCTCAGTCCGGGTCTCTTCCATGTCCCTTGTCTCAGTCCGGGTCTCTTCCATTTCTATTGTCTCAGTCCAGGGCTCTTCTATGCCCATTATCTCCATGTCCCTTGTCTCCGTCCGAGTTTCTTCCACTGCCATGTTTCTTGAGGCTCTCCTACTTTGGATCTCACACTACTGCTAAGCTTCAGATCATGCTACCGTGGTGAGTATTTATAAAGGTCTCCTCCTGTAACACATGAATGAACTCCGATGTAATGGCTCCCAGATCATTGGTGGCTTCTTGCTGACCTGCCAGAAAGAAGGAAAGAGTAAGAACCACCACCACCCGCTCATGTATGGAGCAGCACAATAACATGACAAGTTATAGGACTTCACTTTTAGTATGTAACCCCCCTCCCCCTAGTGTATCTGACATTGTTACCTTCATCCTCCATCCCACTTCGTGGTCCTGCCCCATGCTGCACAACAACGGGGGCCCTCTGCCTAGTGCACACTGCAGCTCCACTGATTCCTATGGATGATATGCACTCCACAGGATGGCTGGAGACCGATAGAAAAAGAACCAGACTGGGATGTGTTGGATACAGAAGCTGTGCGGTGCTGGGTACGGTTCCCACCTAACCAAGTGACTACCCTGGGTTCTCTAACCAAGTGACTACCCTGGGTTCTCTAACCAAGTGACTACCTTGGGTTCTCTAACCAAGCCCTCAACCTGTTACGACTTGTCCAGTGCATTCCATATTGCATCCAGTCCTGTAGAGTGATTGACCTAACCTGGAAAAGGTCTTCTCCTCCTAACTGTTTTGGCCAGCAATAGTCTTTGGATGAGGAGTTCCTAAGTAAGTGGTCTGTTCCTGTTGTGGACCCAGCCATTTTGTGTCTTAAGAAGCTTTTGTTGAGGACATCCCCGTGTTTAAAGACCCGTGGATAAAAGGCTTGGCTTTTTAAGGACTTGTATTCTCCTCACAAGTCCTCCCCTGCAACCAGCCATTGCAACCATATCCTTCTGGTAAACCTTAGCTGGCTGGTCCAGGGTTATGTCCCAGGGTTCCGGATCTATACTTACAGATCTTTATGGAGCTCGTGCTGGTGCCTCTACTTTGTTGATGGACCCTTAAACTCAAATGTTGGTCTGTGGAGCATCAGTACAAGAAACACCTCTTGCATACGGTTTTTGATGGGAACAAATTTTTCAAGGAGGCCACCATGGAGAGGAGTAACCTTTTACCCCAGAAAAATAGGGCAAATCCCCACCTGGGAAACCCTTTTCTACTGAGGCAAAAATAATTCCCTTTGTTTCTCTCAGATATTAAGGTCGAAGGAAAGCCAAGCCTGGAACCCAGTTCCACCTTAGGTCTGGACCCCCAAGTGAGCAAGTCCACCTGTCAAACTGGGGATATTTATTTTGTCCTTTACAGCTATCTGATCCAAAGACTTTTCAGAGACTTGGCTCCAGAATATTGTATCTAGGTGCTACAAACTGGAATTTTGGTCTTTGTCTACACCCTACTTCATGTTGTCAAATTCGAAGATTGGCGGCTCTTCATGCTCTTCCTGCTTCCTCTCTCGAGGGATCACAGCCATTGTCCTAGAAAAGGAGAGGTTTCAGTCTCAATTCAAACTGCCCCATATTGGAACTAAAGTTTCTCAACACCTTCTTACTGGTTCAAAAATTCCATATGGAATCTGCTCGGTCAGCCATTGCTTCCTTCCATCAAGGAGACCTACTGGTCTTTGTGGACATCAAGGAAATCTACTTGAATGTCCCCATCTTCACATTGCAATAATGCTACCTGCATGTAACATTACCCTTTTTGCCTGTCCACTGTATCTCGGGTCTTCATATAGGGGCTAGCCCCTGTTCTAGCTGCTTCACTTGAAGATCATCTCCATAATGGAATATCTTGAAGACCTTCTTTTGAGGGAACAGTCGATTAGATTGGAGTGGAGCCTAAACCTCCAAAAATCAGTGCTGGAATCCCTCTCATTAGAGTATCTGGGCCTGATCTCCTTTTCAAGGTTTTCCTTCCCCTGGACGAACTTCAGCCTCGGACATTGCAGGCCAGGAGCCAACCGACCCTACATTTTCACATGGAGGTCTTGGGCCTTATGGTGTCCCCCTACGAGGCAGTTCCATATGTCCAAATTCACTTCAGACAATAGAAAGTCATTATTATGGCAACATGAGACAAGAGGGTGTGGTTTCTGGACTGTCCTATGACTATCAGGATCAGGTTTGCCCTGGCTTGGTGGGTTACAAGTTTGGCACTGGAATCGAGAAAATCCAACCTCCCAATGGTTTGGAAGGTGCTCATGGGAGATGCCTGGTATCTTCACAATACAAGGGATCTGGTTGTTGGAGGAAACATGTCTCCTGACCACTATTCTGGAGCTCAGTGTATACAATTATCCCTTCTACGCGGGACTTCTGGTCTACGAGGTCACCTGACCAGTATTCTGGAGCTCAGGTTACACAATGATCCTTTCTACACGGGACTTCTGGTCTACGAGGTCACCTGACCAGTATTCTGAAGCTCAGGTTATACAATGATCCTTTCTACGCAGGACTTCTGGTCTACGAGGTTCAGTCAGACAAAGCCATGGCAGTGGCTTACATCAACCATCATGGAGGAACAAGAAGTCTGGCAGCTCAGAGAGAAGTGGATCTGATTCTGACTCGGACAGAACATCATAACTCAGTCCTGACCGCCAGCACATGCCAGCCATGGAAAACCGGAAGGTGGACTTCCTCAGATGACAGTGCCTGGATTCCAGAGAATGGTCTCCCCACATCGAAGTGTTTTAAGACCTCTGCTGCAGGTGAGGAATGCTGGATGTGGACCTCCTGGCTTCCAGGTTCAACAGCAGGGTTTGTCTCCAAATCTACGGATCATCTGGCCATGGCAGTGGATGCTCTGGTGACTGTGGGATCAGTTCAAGGTGATCTAGGCTTTCCTCCCCCAAAGATCCTTCTTCACCTCATGAGTAGGATGGAGATGGAGGGCTTTCCTGTGATTCCCACAGCACCAAACCTGCCCAGCTGGATGTGGTTCTTGGATCACGGTCTGTGGGTCCTCCCAGATCGTCCCAAGGATCGGTTTGCCATCCTGCTTTTCGGTCGCAGGCCTTAATGGTGTGGCTGCTGAAGCTCGGGTCCTGAGGGACGGGTCTCTCAGATTCGGTCATATTCATATGGGAATTGACTTCTCACAAAGTCTACCATCACAGTTGGAATATGAATCTCTCTTGGTGCGAGACAAGGAAACTCCACCAGAGGACGTTCACGGTAGGATGGATCCTGTCTGTTCTCCAGTCTGCTCTGGGTCAGCATTTGGCCTTGAGTCCCATTGTAGGTTAAGTCTTAGCGGTTCTTT